GAACGAAAGCAGCCCGAACTCGGTCAGGGTGGAATGCTTCGCTGCACACCACGGAGACCTGTCCCAGGCAGCGGTTGTGAGAACGGGCATTGCAGTGAGAACACTCGTAGATGCCGTCTCCTTCTGACTTGTCGTCGCAGACAGAACATGTCGAGGACAAGTCATGGGCCATCCAGTTGAAGCAATGGCCCTCAACCCACACCATTGTGTCGGTATTCCGTACGGGCTGAATCAGCATGTTGGGCATGATGGTTGATGCCGCCAGGGTAGACTGGGCATACGTGGAAGGTGCATATCCGGGCGTGTACCCATTATACGAAGACTGCGAATCGACCGAGATGGCGGATACCGACATGCTTGGATTGTGTCCGTTGAGGAAGGGCAAGCTTGGTCGGTGGAGAGGAGGGTGCTTGTCCATGCCAAAGGACGAGCTGCGGCGGGACTTCTCATCAAAGTGGCCCGATTTCTTTTCTCTCAAAGTCTGTGCAAAGCCGGAATCGCTGCGTGACACAGGTGTGGTGGGCATCGGGGGGAAGTTCATCGAGACTGGTGAGATGGAAGATTGTGGGCTGGTTTTACCGGACTTGCTGGTAGTAGGCCGGTCCTTGCTGTGATCGCCAGCCTTCGAATGCAAGAAAGCATTGAAAATTGGTGGTCGCACCGAGTTCGGAGGAGCCGGCTCTCCGAAAGATGAAGAGTTCTGTGTAACCCACTTGCCCAAGGAGCTCGAGGCGACACTGGCGTTGTACAGAGTATCGTTCTCGACTGAGAAGGCATCATACGGGTACGACTCCATTGCGTATGGCGGGGGTCCAGTAGTCACTCCATACCGAATGTGATGCGGCGCGGCCACATGAAGTAAAGAAATGAGCTTGCGACGATGCTGTCGCGGAAGTCGAACGGGCTGGTTAGTGGCGTCGATCGTATCAAGGTCCAAATCAACCAGCACGTAGTCATCCTCAGGAAGCTCAATCTTCTCATATCGCCGCTCGATGCCTACGATGTAGGGGCAAGGTGCCTCCAGTGCCGAAATCAGACGCGCAGGGAGCACAGGAATAAAGATGCTCGCCCACTTAAGGGGATACAACAAATTGGCCAGTGCGTGGCATGCCAGATGAAGCATACCAGTGTGGGAGGAGAGGAAGATAATGCGAGACTCCGACATTGCGTACTCGAACAAAGCAACAATGTTCTCCATGGACAAACATCTGAATAGGGCGTAGATGTCAATGGTCCGGGCCCCTGGAATTTCGTTGATGGCTTCCTTTCGACAATATAGCCGCAGCTCTCGCACGCCTAGCTCGACCTGGGTCTTGGAAGCCAGCGGACTAAATGCCTCGGTGCACAGATTGACGACGTAACGCTCAAGAGGCTGCCAACGACCAACCTTGGGGGAGCTGGGTGGCACTCGGAGAACTGCACTGTCGGTCATAGGCACAACGATGGCTCGCAGCCATTCCTTCCAGAACGACATTCTCGTGGCGTCTCTTCCCAAAATACCGTAAGCTCTGGGGGCCCACAGTCCGCTCTCGCCAGCCGTCAAGCCGTCGATCTTGGACGCGGCACCGTGCCGAAGTGGTCTCAGCATTTCTGTCATGAGACTAATCTTCTCCTCAACAGCGCTAATCTGGTCATCCAGAGTGTCACGAGCGGAAGACCCCGAGGGAATTGTAGGGAGCTTCGCAAGCAACTGGGAGAGATGCGCACGCTCAGCCGCAAGTCGCACTCCCAGACTGGCCGCCAGTTCCCGCTCCTCGTTGGACATATGGCTCTGCCGCCACTGCTCACATCTTTTCTCCACTTCGTCTGCAACCTCGGATGTCAGGGCAGTCCAGATAATGATGGTAATACCATATATCTTGGAGTTATCGTCCGAAGTCATTGTGAAACCATGCCAGGTGGAACGTGGCCTGTCATCGGAAGACACGATCTGGATATCGTTCGGGAAGGCAAACATGGGAACGTAGTCTGGGAACCTCCCACGACGGGCGATCTCGTCTGTCGCGTCTTTGGCCGGGTACCTGTCCAACAAGACAGGCTCGAATCGTCTCTTGAGGGGATGCATGTCTGGATCCGTGTTCAGGGGCTCCGGAGGAGGAATGACCGAGTTGTAGTTGCTGAGTCGCTTGGCAGTCCTAATTGAAGCTGGAGCCAGCGTGTTAGTTGACCGGAAAGGACTTGAGGATTGCGCTACAGAGGAGGGTGGACCTTGGCGGGGTATCGTACCGGCTCCTGGCGTGCTCGCTCGAGGAGTGGTGGGTTGCTTGCGCATGCTGTTCATGTCCCTGAAACTCATCTTGCGGCGGATGCTGCCCTTGATGCTCCGCTCGATACTGCGTAGAGGACTTCTCCGGCCGCTCGCGTCGCCCTTGTCAGCCTTGATGCGCTCAGCTCTGGGGTTGACCATGGGGGGGCGGGCTTGTGTTTTGGCACCGGCACTGAAGGACAAGTCTTCCAAGAAGTTCTCTCGTTCGGAAGCGAACTTGAGCAAGGCCTTGTCAAAGTCGAAGCCTTCGATGAAAGGCCCTTCGCCATTGAGGCCAGGGGGGAGGCCATTGAAGACATTGAGGCCGGCACCGCTGCCGGAGCCATTGATCTGGCTCGCCTGGGAGGGTCGAATGGTAGCGCTACTCCGGTTGCTTCGCGTGTTCCCGTCTACTTCTTCGACAGTCTGAATGGAAAAGCGACTGGGGGCGCGGCCACCACCACCACCCGAGTTCTGCCTGGAATGGCGACCGACGCTGGAATGACGAGCAACGCGCTTGCTCGGGGTGGCGTTGAACTCGTTGTCGCTTTCCTCATACTCGCTGTCCTCGGCGATGGTGGACTCGACGTTGTTGGAGGGGGGCTGCGGGGTAGAGTCCTGATAGGAGACGGACTCTACGCCGGCGATCCAAAAGTAGTCGGCGAGCGGCGTCGAGGAGCTGTCCATGACATGTCACTTGCTGGTGACCAGCCGGATTGGCGATTTGGCGATATGTCTGGCCGGCGAGGATATTTTTTCCCAACGTCTCGTTGCTCTCGCACGGGGGGCTGGCCCGGGCTTTTTAATCGCGAGAGGGTCTCGGGGTCCTTTGGGTCGTTGAGTGGTCGGTCAGGACTGGGGGGGGTACTTTGTGGTACAAGTTGAACTTCGGTGCAGTGCGGTGGGTGGACAAGGCAGGGGTGCCAGGATCCGGGAGGTTCTGATGGAAAAGTCTCAGGCGACGACCTGGAGGGAATCGGGCTCGTTTAGCTATGGGATCCTGTCGAGGTCTCCATCCAAGACTGGAGAAGAGGAGGGGGAACAGAAGGCGGTGAACGCACGAACCAGGGAAAAATGCGACTGCTTCTCGACCAGCGACAGCTAAAGCGCCTAAGCAGCGGAGCAAAAGGGAGCAGGCCAGGCAGGGAAGCCGGAGGTAAAAGATCGAACCCGGATCGGAGAGGGGTGAAAGCGTCGCGTAGCGCGTGGCCAAGGTGATGTTGATGGCGGTAGGTAGGCCTAGTTATGATGGGATGTCGAGAACAGGAGCCGTTACGTGAGGTTAAGGTAGGGCAGACAAGCGAACCAAGAGTCGATGGGTGAATCAACAACAAGAGGAAGCCGCCAAAGGAGTGGATCTTGGGAGGGTTTGGCTTTGGGTGTCGAGAGGCGGAAGTGAGAGTTGACGAGTGAGGAGAGGCGTCAGCCAGGTCAAGATTGGTGCCAGAAGCAGGCTCGCATCAGACTGTCGCCTAGGTTTAGGTAGTAGATTGGTCGTGTCGGGCAAAGATAACAACAACGAACGAGAGAGGGCGACGGTGTATTTTTTTTTTCTTCTCCTCTTGTCTGCTCGCTCGGCATAAACCTTTTCCCCCTCTTCGTTTTTTCGGTGGTGACAGAAGAACAGACGCAGAGCCTCCAAGAAAAAGAAAGGAAAAGGAAAACAAAAAAGGAGATTTTCCCGGCAACAGGCAACAAACGACCAAACAAGAGTCGAGTCGTTGGATGAAGAGATGGAGGAGAATAAAGGCAAAGAAGATGGAAACAAATAATCAGGTGCAGCAGGATAAGTCAGGTCAGGTCTGGTTTGGTCAGGTACCAAGAAGCCACGCGTGGAAGGGATTTTCTATTCCTCTTCTGGCCGCGTCGTTCGGTTTCCCGATTTTACGGAGGTGTGTATTTCTAAATGCAAAGATATGGCAGGTACCTTGGTCCGTACTTTTGTGAGTGTGTGTGTGTGTGAAGAGTGAAAGGCAGTGTGGGCTCAGGCAAAAAGTCAAGTGAAAGTGAGCGCAACGGGACAACGAACAACAACAGCCACGGCACGGTTTGGGACAGAATGGGAAGCTAATGTGGTGATCGGGCTCGACGCGAGAGAGAAAAAGGGCAAGCACCAACCTTTGGGCGCCTTCATTCGCTGCTGCAGTGTGTTGGCGCTACCCGTTCAAGGAGGAAGGAGGTGGTGTGTGGCCACTGCCTGTGGTGTGAAGGTGCCAAGTGGTGTGGTGTGGGAAAAGGAAGGAGTGGGGACCGACAAGGGGGAGGCGGTAGACGGGCGGACAGTCAATTGGGAAGGAACACTCTGAGGTACGGGGGCACCTACCTTACCGCAGTACGCCAGTTGCGGGCGGGTGCAAGTGCACACGGGGGAAACAGCGGGCCCGGGGTGGCAGAAAAGGGCAGCCAAACCTGAGAAGACACGAAAGACAGGGGGAGGGGGAGATACCTTAGCATGCTTCTGCGGGATGGTCACTGGAGGAGGCGTACAAGCGTGGGAGGGCCCTGACAAGTCTGGCACTCCTGGGACACTGAAAGGTCGCAATGCAGCTGTGTACAGGGAAGTGCAAGCCGCAAGACCACAACAAACACTGGGCCCAATGGGACGCTGTGCTCATTTGCATCTAATTCGGTCGGGATTGGGAGGCGGCACGCCTGTTCTGCTGTGAACCGGAGCACGACGCTTTTAGAACTCCAGCTGTGACTGTACCAGGTATCTTGCTATGCCACTACCTTACCTTACCTACCTTACTATATGATGGATATTGAAAACATATTACCATACCTTAGTACCCTGCCTTTGTTTACGTTACGTGGTTACCCAGCGTACGGTACCAAGTATTCCCGTAAGGCTGGTGGTTGGGATGTGGGATATCCAATCTACACTGCCTGCCATCGCCCGTCCACAATCAGCTATGGTAAGGTAAGGTACCTGACGCCAACGATCCTATCAAACATATCCGTACCGTGACACTGCTATGGGCTGGATTTCACGTTGAAATTGTCTCTGGGCAACTTTCAAGAAGCGAACCTGGCGAGACTGGTGTGTCCATTCCCCTCCATTCCTCAAAAGCTGTTGAACCGGGCTGACGGATAACTGACGTGTCTCATACCGACTTTTTGTCTCGCTTTCTTTTTCGTGGAACCGAGATCTCAGAGGGCGGGAAGAAGCAATGACATATGCACTAAGACCCTCAAGTCCCCATCGAGGAATGTCTCTCGATTGCCGCTGCCGTGTCTCGCGCAGCGCGCGCACGCCGGTTGTCCATTCATGCTTTCAGCTGCTCGTGTGAGTCTGTCCAAGGTACGTAAAAAGGTATTAAATGTTGCCCCCGTTGTCCAAAGTCTCGCTTGGTCTGGACTCGGTGATAGAGCCATCTAGTGGTGCTGTCTCTGGCCTTAGCCTCCAATGCGACGTTCTTGGCCCCCATCCTCTCCTTCAACCGCCTTTCTTCTCATTTTCGGTCTAATGAGGCCAAGCTCTTGAAGAATATCACCTCGTGTTTGCCCCTTGCATAGTCGGCAGTATACTCTACGCCATCACCTAGTACACTCTCAACGGTGGCTACAGAAGATAGACTTGCGAGATAAGGTAGACCAGAGATGGTGAAGCGTGGAAAGAGTGTGCGAAGCCACCCTTGTGGTCCCTGAACTAGCGTTCCAGGCATGAGCCTAGCAACGTAGGCCTCCATTCGCTACCTAAGCCTGTACCCGCTAACCCTCGGAACAGGCAATGACAGTCAGGGCCCCGGGCTTCTCTCCCCTGGATCACTAATACCCTCGCGGCCATCTGCTTGCCGATCAACTGTTCTCACCAGTCATCACGGGGCAGGTAAGGTAGAGGAAGGTATCCGTCCAACAGTGTCCGTACCGAACCTGGAGGTTACCATCGGAGCAAGCGCTGGGGAGACGAGGGAGACAGACGACTTCCTTTTGCGAATTGTGGATGAAAATCCCATGTATTCGTACGGAGTAGGCACTGCGTATGATGTCCCGTAATCCATTCCATGCCAGAGCCCACATTCACCCACCGTCGTCCACACTTGCTGCCACTCTGATTCTGCCCATCAGACCCTTTTTTGACCCTTTTTCATGCCCTCCCATGTACTTCCTTGAACTTCCATTCCTTTTGGTGAATTCAGCTCCACCATCATGAAAATCCGCAATCCACCTTTTGCTATTCAACACATGTCCGTACTTAGCACTCTCAGTATCCGTACGAACACTCCGTACTGGAGCTGCACTGCAGGCTCCGCAACTTGCTCCTCCTCCGCCAGCATCCACTCCAAGCTCCTCTTTACTCGGCGATCTCCTCTTCAGCTCCAGTGCCATCACGGAATATTCCAAGGTAAATCGCTCTTCCCCTCACTTGCTTTTTCGCTGCTGCCGCCAGAGGCCCAGCATCGTGTACCTCTGGACGAGTACCTCTCGTGAAGTACTCACGCACTTGGTACCTTGGCAGATCTTTCTCAGCTCTGCCTCCTCTGCCGGCCCTCAGCTCTACCTTACTTGTCCACTAACTATCCCTCCCACAACAGTCCTTTCTTCTCTTTCTCCCGGGACTTCTGGTAGGTAGGTTCCGGCCAGTCAGCAACCCGAGAGCCCCCCATGATATCCATTGTCTCCAGAAAGTCTTGGGACCTGCTCCAATGAGGGGAGAAATCTGAAATGTGAGCGGCCTAGCGCTAGCCCACGACGCTTCCCAGGATGGAGGATGGAGGTCCTGTTCAATGCACCAAGCACCAAGCACCTGCAAAGCAACCTCGGGGGCTGCCCAACTAGAAAGCGCCCGTCTCGCAGAGTGCAGATAGGTACAACGGTATCTCACGCCTGTTTTCTTCAAGACGCACGTGTAAGAAGCATCTCACCCACGAGGACCAACCCACCCTGGCCTGCGCCTTTCGCTGAATGCGTCGACCACTGCTTACCTACCTTGCGCCAGCAGCCATGCGTAGGCAGCTTGGCATGATACTCCTCTTCTCGCAGTCTTTCGGGACACAGGACACACTGCGAGTCTCCGTACACGCACCAACAGCACACAATATCGAACAGAAGACGAAATACACTAGGTCCCGAATTCGCAAAATGCGCAATCCCAAGCTGAGGTCAACTCACAAGTCTCTTCTCCATTGGTACGATGGAGATGACGTCCGGCCATTCGTTAGCTCGCGGCCAAACCCTCCAAACTCCTGTCCCGAGATGCCGCGAACCGGCGCTTGGCTCCTGTCCAACCCCGTCCGCATCTCCATCCACGTATCGCCCGACATGAAAGAATCTACCAGATCCAAAATTCTCTCGGAACAAAACCACCATGAGTACGGATATAACCCTTGGCTTATTCTCTCGCCTGTGGATCCTCTCCACCAACCCATCGTATCCCATCCTCATGGATGTTGACAGTATCGACACCCTCGTCATTGTCTTTTCTTGGCCGCCTGCCTAACACTTGACTCTACTCATCATCCGACTTCCCTGTCATCAGGGCCTATCGTCTGCCCTACCTTGTCACGATTCAACTCCTTATTCGCACGAGTCTCTCTATCATGGCGGTCAAACGAAACCGACCACGCAAACACTTGATCATGACCTGTTCATCCGGCATCACGGCGAAGGCGAGTACAAAGTCTTTGCCAACCCGGTAAACTCAACCCCAGGTCAACCAGCCAACCATGCACGCCGCCCAGGGTCCAGGGGTTATCAGGCTCCTGCATCACACCCTCTTGGGATGTGGGTAAACTCCAATTGCCCTCTCACAGCTCCTACGCAAGACGGCCCATGGAGCTTCTGCAGACTGCAGACGCAGCATACAAGCGCATTTCCACACGTCTGGCGTTCTGACGAATACGAATGGCTCAGCGTGGACAGGGTGAGCAAGCAAAGAAGCAGCAACTGGCAAGCATCCAAGGCGGTCTGCATCTCAATGCTCGCTACAGACTCCGGAGTATTCCTCGCCCGTCTCATGCACTTTGCCTCGAGTCGGCATCTATCAAATGTCATGCTGTGGGCGTACCTGCTTGTCGTCGAGCTTGCCGAATTGTCTTGCATGCTGTAATGGAGCGTCTACCTTGGTGTACAATCGCACGTTTCAAGAGCCTGTCGACAGCAATCAGCTCGAGACTTGTCACCCTCGATGGGTCTCTTTCCGCCTCTCCGCGATGCTCATCGAGCACCAAGCAGCTTCGATAGGCATTCCTCGCAGTCTTTGGCTACACCTGTAAACCATACCTGTTTCTTGGGAAGAGTGCCAGACTAGGACACTGCTCGGAAGTTCTCCCAGGGCAGCGCATTCTGACGCGCACAGAGCAAAAAGACCATTCCTTTCTCATATAGGCCTGATATCACGGCCCATGGCCGATCGTGGGCCCGAGATGTCGAACATGATGGACAAGGATCGGCGCACAGCTTCAAGTGTCTGTGGGTGGTGGTGCCGGTGCTCGGTGCTCACTGGCCGCCATACCACCCCCCTTCCCGAGAGCCCTTTGCGGACCACTTCTCATCGGCGCCAAAAGCAAATACCAGCGCCGGCAGATGCCCGCCATGGCACTCTACGGTGTACTACGCACTTGTCATGCCCAGGAAACCCATGTCATCTTTCGAGATATTCTCTCAGAGTGAGTCGATTGCGTCGCCATACGCCCAATCCTTGAACCTAGGTTCGCCGCGAATTGTTGCGACCCAGGGACCCGCCCGCATCGTGACATTTTCGGAGACTGTTTGGTCGGTCTGGTATGGACACATCAGCGGTCTACCGGTACTAGGATTGTAGACGGCTCGACGGGAAGGACAGCCACTACGGACTCCGATTCCTGCAGCCAGCCAAAGAACTGAAGAAATCTTTGTTTCAGATTTCGCCTACACAACGACTCAACCCACGCGCTAGGCACATTACGGTGTACAAAAGTCTACTAGCTGAAATCTGTCGGTCTTGTCTGCCTTCCCTGGCCCCTGGCCCGCGATAGCGACTCATCATCTCGCCGGATTTGGATCGTCCACAGTTTTTTTTTCGAACGTACGAGAAGATGGCTTTACTCAAAATTCAACTTGCCAAGTTGAACGACTCACAAGTCATGACTCTTCCAGCTGACGTAGAGTCATTCTGCTCTTCGTGCCAGCCAGCGGAAGGCGGGCACATCTATTCTGGATTTCTTCATCTACCCACCCATGCCACCCGGAAATATCCTCCAATCTGCGGCGTGCAGTTCCAGTGGCTAATCCACACCTGAGAGGCTGAGAATAAAGAGATTCAACACAGTTACAACACTAGATTCAAATTACGTCCCCGAAGCCGCTGCTTATTACATGACGACGCACTCCTTGCAGAACCCCCCAGTGTTGGGTTGAGCTTTTGGAGAAGCTGACAGCCCAACGTGTCTACTTTAATTCGCTTTTTTCGCTGCAAGCTACCCAAACGAGATGGTCGTCTCATTCCGGCAAATACCAACCGTAATCAATCCTCAACAGCGGCCTAGCCGTGGCAAGGGGAACCGCTCAAATGTGGTGAAGCCACTTGTCGATCCCATGCAATGCGACTGCAGGACTGCAGAACTACAGAACCAGGTTCCTGTTTCGGACGGGAGACACGACAGGAAATACGCAGAGCAACCAAAGCCGCATGGCACTTTTACTGCTGCTCATGCTTCTGCTGCTCGTGTCCTCCTGCGGCCCTTGGCTAGCTATGTCACTCGGTGTACCACAACAGTAGGTCATATGTAATATGGAAAAGAGAGGCTCGTAAGTCGTAATGAGAACGAGCAGGAAGGAATGGGCGCTGTGACCACGGTTTGCCTCCGTGACCCCTTTTATTTAGCCATTTCCAGCCCTGTTGGAGGAAAAGAAGGACCGAAGGGTAAGGTACGAGGGTAAGCAAACGAATGTTGGGGGAGAGAGGGCGGCGCTAAGAACCGTTCGTGCAATAGTCTCAGGACGTTCTTTAGAGTTTCGAGATCTCAGATTTGAACCCGCTGAGATCTGAAGGTGTCAAAAGGTCAGCCACCTGGTGGGGAATGGAGGGGAAAGCGCTGCCTGTTCGAGGAGACTTTTCAGGAACTACACATTTCTTGAGATAATGGGACATGTTGGTGCGGGTTTAGTGGCGCATCCGAGCGTCGTGAACGCCACGGTCTACGGTATTCTCGCTCTAGGGTAGGTATTCTTCAGCGAGATTCATTTCAGCTGTTGGCATGCCAAGATGCCTTCTCCTGAGCACCGACACGCCTGACCCCCCTTCCTTCAACGAAGAGAGGCGTGAGAGATCCAACAACATCCACCACGCACCTCTAAGAAGCGAAGGATGGTCGACCTCCTCCTCCTCCTCCTCCTCCATCGTGATGCGGCGTTTGCCCCGGAAACACGGCTCAACGCCCCGACCATGCGGGGGACCCGATCCAGCTTCCGTAATTTAGTTCCCTTGGATTTTTTTTGATGGGATCTCCAGCCATCAGCACGGCTCTTTCCAAGGCGTAGTACGTGTATACCAATTCTCAGATGGTGGAGAGATGTGTGGTCTGACACTGGGCTGAATCTGGGGGAGAGGGATGAACGCCTTGACCGCTCTTGCCTCGCGTTCCTCAGCTGTCACCGTCAACGGGGCTATCCTCACCAATGCAATGCTTTCCCCCTCAACGAACGCCTCAACCGTTTCTTTCTGGTCTGGACTCTTTTTACGTGAGACTTGGGTAGACCTCCTCGCTCACGCCACATGTCGCGTGCCCAGCTTGCCCGTGGAGAGAAACCCCCTATTTCCCATCTCACCCCGCCACCCGATCCCGAGAACCCCAAACATGATCCTCCCGTCCTCGCCCGGCTGCGCCCTCGTCCCCTCGGCCTCCTCCACCACGAAGCAAACCTGCTCGACCTCGCCCGGGTGCAGCACCGGCCGCGCGCCCCCGCCCGTCTCCCAGTTGCAGTCCGTGTAGCCCAACCCGTCCGCGAGGTCCAGCACCACCTTCTCGAGCTGGATCACGTCCTCGGAGCAGTTCTCCAGCTGGGCCTCCATGACCCACCGCCGCTGCCCACCGCCGCCCTGTTTCTTTCCGGAAGAAGCGGGAGCGAGCGGGCCGATTTTCGTGCGGACGATGAGCGAGGACTTGCAGATGAACTGGTACAGCTTCCGAAAGGTGCGCGTCTTGCCCGAGGTCTCGGTGGCTTCGTAGTAGCTCACCGTCACGGCGAGGACGTGGTTGCCTTCCTCTTTGAGATCAAAGTTTACGATGCGCTGGAGGGTGTCGCCGGCCTCGAGGTCCGTTCCCTTCAGGTCATCGTCGTCGCCGCCGCCGTTATCCGTGGAATCTGGTGGCGAGAGCTCGAGCTTCTGGATCGAGTTCGCGCCGGGGGTCTTCATTTCCGCTTCGATGCGGACGTCGCGGATGCTCTTGCGCTTTGCCGGGGCCGCTGATGCTGCCGCTGCTGGTGCACCGCCTGTGGCGCCGAGGGGTCCTCCTCCCCCTGGGACTGCTGCTACGGGCTCGGGGACATCGTGGTTTGCACAGAGGGTGCAGCTGAAGGTTTCGCCTACGTAGGCGGAGCCGAAGCTCAGCGGGAGGTTGAGGATCGGGGAGAGGAGAAAGGGGGAGGGATTCGTTGAGGCGGTTGTGTCGTAGGCGAGGGAGGCTGGGGTCGGGTCCGCGGGGAGGTTTGAGGGCGTCAGCGGGGGCCTGATCGGGTGTTGAATTACGAGTGATGGGCGGGATAGTCTGTTGGTTTGATTTCCGTGTCAGATGTTTATATCTCTTTGCTTGGGTATAGTAGGTGAGGGGGGATGTGTAAGAGGACGAAGGCGCCCCGCCGCGTGTAAGTCGGGATCTCTGGTACCTGAGGACTTTCAAAGAGACGGAGTGAGGCTCCTTTAGGGGGTCGTGGGACGGGTATCGTTGATGGCTCATTGTTGCCGTATCCGCGACTCGCTGGTCGATGGGGAGAGGGTGGATGCTTGGAGGGGTTCAATGTGTCGTCGGGCTCGGGTAGCGGGGGATGCGCCGCGGGACGAGATCTGATAATTGGAGATACGGAGAGGTGAGAGATCTTGGAGAGATGGGCTGGTGCGACGAAATGACGATTGGGGGTCTTACCTTACCTTAGCTGTGGTGGGGCCCGAGATGTCTTTTATCGATAAGAGAGTGGGTGTGTGGAAAGACCCAGGCCGGCGGGCGGAGCTCTCCCCCGCATGCCATGGCCCCACCCGGGGTTCCGATTTCGAGGTCCACGGAGGGCGGACGGACCCGCGCACTGTGGATGATTTATCGTTGAAAGTTTTGCTCCGGTCTGGAGCAACGGAACAGCTCCTAGCGAAAGTGATTTTTGGATCATGGGCCAAAAGACCTCTCAGGGGATCAGCTTCGCTAACGACACGATGATCTAATTCCGGTCTGTGGGTTTATAATTTGGTTGCGGAGGTCAAGTAAGCAGTTTCGAAGGTTTCCCCTCTGTGATTTGTAAAGGGATACCGGCAGCACCATTCAACTCTTGGTCGCAGATAAATGAAACCATGCCGTCACCCAGCGCTACACTCATCCGTCCTCGTATCTGTCTGTCTTAGTAAATATAAACATTTAATTGCCATGCTGGCCTATCGATGTTATAGGTATCAGGATTGGTGTAATGGTCTGCAATGAGGATAAGGTGGAAGATTTGGAAATATTTTGTCCTATTGATTAGCCCTTGGGGGAAGAAGTCATTTGGAAGCATCAGTATACCATCTTCGTACAGAGGACTGTTGTGATAGTTTTGAGCGGTTAGTTCAGGCTATCCACCATCTTTGAGATCTATGTCGGCTTCCACCGACATCCACGCCTGCATTATTTCCTTGTGAGCAACAAGATGGCAGATTGAAACAGTGTCACCAGACCTCTGCCAATTTGATCCCGAGCATGCGGGTACCGCACCTTCAAAGAACGCTTGAGGCATGCGGGATACGCCGAGTGAACCCGAGCATATGCTATCGGATGATCGGATGTTTCCGCAATGTCCTGTGCTCCTTCGGAGACGGAGTATAGCATCTGTTTCCAACAACACCGGAGAGAGGTACTACAGCACGAGAGAGAGAATCGTCCCACACAGTGGGACACAAGTGGCTGGGCTAGAAGGCAGCCTAGAGCGGTCAAAATCAGACCGAGACGTATGGGCAGGATGGCTTTTGGTGCAGTGCCCAGGAGAGAACAAACCTGACAACACCTCCTATTCACCCTGACCCCTTCGGAGAGTCAAATTTGACTTGAAGTGTTGTCCAATACATGCCCGCAACTACAGTCGTAGACTCTATCTTCCAATGGCATGGCAGTCTCTGGTTTGAAGATAATCCTTGAGTGATTTATCCAGCTCAGAGAGATTACCTCATCGGGTGCTCTAGTTACAGCCATCCCTTTAACCAGAGTAGGTCATTGTCTTGTCAGCGAAGCTGACCACCCAAAAGGTCTTTGAGCCTATGTTCTTAGGATCACTTTCGCTACGTGCCGCACCTTGGTTCATGTGTAAAGTGGTGTGCGCCTGTATCCCTCCTTCTTCCCGCTACATTCCACCTTCCTCAAACTATGTATCTTACCAGCCCAAGGGAGACTGAGGGTATATATTCCATCCCAACGTCGTCTTTGTCACCACCCCCCCCCCCCGGTCAATTGGCCGAGTGGGTTTGACTCTGACGCAGAGTCGAGATTAAATTAAATACCCCAATGAAGCCAGTCGCGGTTGGAGGGGCTCGCTGTTCGATTTTAGATAGGGGCGTGAAAGGTCAGTATACCCCCCTTCCCTTTTTTCATTTTCTTCCTCTTTTTCTTCTTTTAAGCAGTTTGAGATGTTGTTTGTGGAAGTTGAATGTGATGCTTTCCCACACCCCTATCTATCTATGTCTTGGGGCCCGCATCAACTTTGGCTAGATTCAGTCTCGAAAGCAAGATTAATTCCCCATAGCTACTGGAAAAAGAAACGATACAAAGCTTATCATAGCAGGGAGATTAAAGGCAGAATATTCTATCTGTATCTCTGCCGTGGCATGGCATGTCATTGATACTATCAGCTAATGCGCTAACGAGGAAAGGAGCTAATATCACGAAGCCCTGATAGGATTAAATGTGCGTATACGTCACATGTGTTGTTTTGTGGTAATATTACTATGTCTGTTGAGTCATATACAACTTCATCTGTACCTCCTTCAACGTCCAAGGGACCATCTGCTGTACAAAGCGACATACTAGTGTAGTACGTCTTTGATGCTTCTTCCCGTCACTTCGTGGATTTGCAATTTTGACTATTATTACGACCTTAGACCCGTTCCTCTTTTCTGAAGTCTCTTTTCTAAAGGCCGGGTGGGGGAGGTACCTATCATCTGTATTAGCAACATCCTCTCAGTCAACGTTGAAGTAATGGCACTTACAGCACCGTAACCTCCTCCGGTGCCCGGAGGCGCGCCTGAGGGCGGGGGAGGAGGAGCAGCCTCGCTGGGAGGTGGGGGCGGAGGGGATGCCGCTGCACCCGGGGGCGCGGGCGAGCCTTGCTGCTGTGCTTGCGCAGCAGCATAGTACTGCTGGTACATTTGAACGTAGGCGGCATATCCGCCATAGGCAGCGTAAGGATCCTGACTGCCGTAGTACTGTGCGTACTGAGCGGCATAGTCGGCTCCGGCGGCAGGGCTGTTAGAACCACCGGCGGGAGCAGGGCTTGCTGATTGCCCAGAGTTGTGACCGCCATAGCCGCCACCGCCGCCGTGACCACCGTGACCACCATGGCCACCGTGGCCTCCGTATCCGGAGTTATAGCCGCCGCGGTCGCCGCGATCACCACCGTGACCGTGACCTCCATATCCGCCATGGCCGCCATCGTGCCCCCGCGAGCGGTCGCCGTAGCCCCCGCGGTCACCATAACTACGAGGAGGTCTGCTCTTGAACTCTTCGTACTGCTCTTTGACATTTGCAATCAGATCCTCGCAAAGCTCCTTGGCCTTCTCAACCATCTTAGGATCAGGTCCACTATTCAGAGTCAGTACATGTGCGTTAACGTTGGTAAGGTGACAATGCACTTACGCGACGTGAAGATACATATCCTCATCACTCTCGCGATTGGTAGCTGCCTCCAGATACCCGGAGCCACGTCCTTTGATCTGGACGCGACACTGAGTCTCCTGCTGGATGTGCTTAACGTAGGCACCGCCATGGCCAACAACTTGAGCGCGGAGGTTGAATCCGGGGACGGACTCCAAACCAATGGGAATCTTCTCCTCCGGCCATTTGCGCTGTAATATGTTAGACACAGATTTTCGAGACTAATTTCCATACATACTCGGCCATATTCGTCTCTCTCAACCTGTTCCTGGTCACGTCGACGGAAACGACGCTCATCTACCAGCGCGGGAAGTTCCTGTTTCATTAGTTCCTCAATCTTTGTCACGGCCTGCTCAAGTCCAGTCTTGGATGTACTGGTGACATGTAAGTACAAAGGCGGATTCTAGGGAGAGAGTCAGTGTGTGTTACTATAATATGGTTCTCGAAGTTGACATACCGCCGCAGTCGCCATGCTCTTGTCGGGATAGTAGTTTCCTCGGGTAGTAACATCTTGCAAAGTCAACCTTTGTTCCTAATTAGACGCAAAAGTGGGAGGTGTATCGTACCAGCACCAGTTTCTTCTTTGATCTAAATCAAGCAAATGGAGTCAGCAGGTGCCAAAGAGGGGTGATCTGTGCGAGCTATCGTGCCAAGTAAGCAGGATGATCTCGACACAAATCTGTTTATATGTAGGAAAGCGGGTTGCGCTCGAGACGAGGCCTGGGAAGGAAGTATGATCAGTGGTTTTGCACAGGAGTATTTACCATCTTCTGAGTCGACCCCTTGGTCAAGAGGTATCGGTTACGAAGGTCGTTGACTTCAATGTCTTTGATGAAGTCGCCGTCGGCGATGTACATCTCTCCATTGATCGTATTGGCCGGGTCGGGCGATTGAGCACCGCCTGTAGGAGAAGTGGCGGTCTTGATCGGGGGAACGTCGACATGCTGGATGCCCTTCTTCGCTTGGAGTTGCGCGTTGATTCGCGCGGCCGCAGCAGCTATGAGTCTGTTAGCCATGTTTTCTACTGCCAAAGCGAGGCGCAACCCGTACCAGCCGCAGCAGCGGCATCTACCGGCGATTTCTTCGGTTCTGTCGCCTGGTCATTTGGCAGAGGGCTACGCTCTCTTGCCGACTCTGAACGTCTTCCTGGTGGCGATCTGGAGCGGCGGTCGAATCTCGAAGCCTTGCGAGGCTCGGGTTCGGTTTGGTCGAATCGCGAGCGCTTGGCGGAGCGTCGCTCGGTGTCGTCCATTGCGACGTCTGGAATGCAGTGATGCTGAAGATATAATCGCTCGTTGTCGATTATCGCGTTCGGCGTGCGTCTGGGTAATGCGCAAGCGCTTGGCGATCGATATGTGGGAAGTAAAAGATTGGAATAGTAAAATTTACGAGGTATGAAGCTCTTTGGAGGTGGAGCCTTGGAGAGACGGACGGACTAAAATAAAGTGGCTTGGCCCGTGCGGCAAGACGACTTTGTCGACGGTCGTTCCCACGGGCGGCGATGGGCCTGGCTGTCACAGATTTAGCGCCTCAGGTATCAGACGTAGCTACTTTTCTTACCTAGGTAGTCTGCACCAGCCACAAGGTAGCAACAGAGCGACTATCGGCAGGAATGGAAGAATGCGGCCAACGGGACCATCCTCACACTTGACGCTCTATCTATTCCTCTTTAAGCAACCGCTCACAATTGACTCTTTTTACTGGTCTAATGTTCTTTGACTCAGTGACTCTTTGACTCAGTGACCTTAGCATGAGAATCTTGAACCTCAAAGCTTACGGTTCTTTTAGTGTTTTGAAGGGAGTTTAAGATATCCTGAACCAGGTGCCTATCTGCAGTTCGAATATCGTCTTGC